GAGAGAGAGAGAGAGAGAGGGAGAGAGGGAGAGACGGAGAGAGAGAGAGAGAGAGGGAGGGAGAGAGAGAAAGAGAGAGAGAGAGAGAGAGAGAGAGAGAGAGAGAGAGAGAGAGAGAGGGGAGAGAGAGAGAGAGAGAGAGAGAGAGAGGGAGGTTCAGGTGGGAGGGTTGTGGAGTGACCAGAGGGGGGCGCTGTCAGGGGGTTTCATAATGGTGAAGCGGGAGAGGAGGGTTTGGGTGTCGTCTTCGAAGAGGTTGCGGCCCTCCAGCTGGGACGCGAGGTCGGTGTCTCGGAAGACAGAGTCGTTGCCGTGGTTCGGGACGAGAAGCGTGCCGTCGTGGGCGATGCAAAGGGCCACTGGATAGGTAGCCGCAACCTGCACAGTGAGCGGCCCCATCGTGGTTCGTGGTGGTGAGAAGATGAGGGTGGTGCTCGTCTGGATGTCGCCACACTGGTTGACTTGCATGAGTTCCACGAAGTCATTGGAGGCACCGTAAGCGTATGAGGGAGTGGGGAGGGCTGGGGGTGCTGGCTGCTGCGAGGGCTGCTGCGCTGGCTGTTGCGAGGGCTGCTGCGCTGGCTGCTGCGAGGGCTGCTGCGCTGGCTGCTGTGAGGGCTGCTGCGCTGGCTGCTGCGAGGGCTGCTGCGCTGGCTGCTGCGAGGGCTGCTGCGAGGGCTGCGAGGGCTGCTGCGAGGGCTGCTGCAAGGTGGGAGCTGACGTGCCCGGCTGGCCCTCGCCCAGAGCTGGCGGATCTGTGGGCTCTTGAAATGGCGCTTGTGACGTGTGCGCAGGCGCTGCGGCGAGCATGGCGGCTCATTTGTTTGTGTGTCACACCACGCGGAACGCATCTCCATCGCTTCGGTGAAGGGGGTGAACCGCGCCATCCTCGATCGCCGTGCAAAGCTCGCTTCCGAGCTCTCACGCCGCGCGTAGGGCCCTTAGGGGCCTAGAGAACACAACCCCCTCTCCCTTTTCTCCCAGTAAGCTAAATAAAAGTACGTACCCAGCGGCCATTTCTTCTCGTGCCAGTGCGCGCGCGCGCAGCGTCATTTTCTTCTTCGCCCGCCGGCTCTCACGATACCGGCCGGCGGTATTGTGTTTCGGCGGTGACGGCGGTGACCACACACTCGTACCTGTGCATGCGTTGCGCCGTGTGGGTCTCCGTTGCGTTCACTTCGCTCGCCAGTGCTCTGTCCCGAGCACAGCCGAAGCCGTTCCGGGCGTCAGAGATCAAGGCTCGCCTTCGGCGCCTCGGAGTGTCGACGGAGGGCTGCTTTGAGAAGGAGGAGCTGTACCGCCTGCTGCTCGAGCGTGCGCCCGAGGCGTCCGGAGTCGGCCACTGCGTCCCTCTCGAGCTGCTTCAGGCTGCGAGAGGAGCGATGGGCGCAGGCGTCACCGTCGACTCCAAGCGCTACGTTGGCATCCGCTTGGCATCCGCTGACGACGCCTCCGTCGCCGACCCGCGGCTGCTGATGCTGCTCGACTCGGCCGCCTCAAACTCACTGCTTACCCCCGCAGCGGCGCGGCTGCTCGGCGCGCGCCCGACCGGCGTGCGAGCGACTGCCGACACGGGCACGGCGGTCGGCCTGGGAGGCTTCGAGCAGGTCGACCTCGGTGAGGTGGCGCTGCCGGGCGGGCTTGCGTGCGGCCGTCTCGCGCCGGTGGTGATGGATCTTCCCCTCGAGCGGCCGTCCGGCGGCGGCGAGTGCGGCCTGCTCGGCCTCGACTTCCTCTCGCGCTTCGAGGTCGAGCTCTGTCTGCGGCCCCTGCTCCCGACAGCCAGCTTCTACCCGCTCGGATCTGCGGCCGACGGCGCGGCGGAGAAGGGAAAGGGCTCAGCAGCGCTCCCAACG